GGTGATGCAAGCAGCTGGACAGACAGTCCAGAAGTCAAATCCATCTGCAGCCAGCTTATGGAGTCTTTTGGTCCCAATTAAAGTAGTTTCTGCAAGGCACCAAGGCAAGTTCTACCCCTGAAAAAAAGCATTAAGAAAGTGAACATTGTGGCAAAGCACTCGGCCTCACACCCTGCTCTCCGGGTCCTGCTAGGTAATGGGTGCTAGCTCTCATCAGCATTGCCAGTCCTGGTCCTGCTCCCCACACCAAAACCTCTTTCTTCGTACAGTTCCTCCGAACAGGGACCTTTCAAACCCTAGAGACAAGGAACTTGCTCTTCTCCCTTGTGCCTCTGGATGCCACATCTGGATGGGAGATGTGTTTGAGCTCCTCTGAAGGGGAAAGGCAACGAATACCCTCACACTGGCATCACGGGAGCTCATTTTGCAACGAAGTCCTCCAGCAGAACTTATCTGTCCTGAACTATGCCTTCAGGTAATGCTATCAATAATAAAGTCTCACTTTCCCAACACTGTGGGATTTCCATACTCCAGCCAAATGCATTTTCTTAGAGCGAGTGACATTCTGATGTGTTCTGGGACAACTCTATAGGCATTTGCCAAGACACATGCTGGCTCCTTCAGACAGAGACACACGGCAGTTTAAACTTGGTTTAGATCATGAGTCTCGAGTAACGACAGGCCATCTGGCACATTTCAGTAACACTGGCACTTTCTGCTCAGAGAAGTCCGGGACTTAAATAAGACAGACGTGGCAGGTCAGGAGTGAAATGCATTGGCAGGGCTGCGTGTGCGAAGCTTGCATGGCAGCACTTAACCTCAGCCAGTACAGCCGGGACATCACCCATCAATCTATTCACAGCCACGCAGGCAGCTCCGGGAGCAGAATGAGAAGACAAGTGTCAGGGTGAGGGTCAGGAGCAACGTGTGAGCGAGGTGCCAGCCAGGGGACTGTGGCTGGAAGGAGGAGGTATCACTCAAAACGGAGCTGTGGGGACAGGCCTGGTTGGAGTCTGGGGGTTATGGCTCAGCATGAAGCTGTATCAAAATCTGTCAGGAGGAGGGCAGAATGGTGCAAGGCTTGCAGACTGCACACCTCCCTCGGGCTGCAGTAGCAGCATCCAAGGAGTCCCTTGTGATGCTGGTACAGAGGATCAGACAGTAATATAGGACCAGGAGAAATCTGGAATGAGGTTGGGGGCGGGGGGCAGATTGCAAAGTATAAAGGAGGCTTTTTGCACTGGAAAGCTCAGCTGTTGCAGCACTGGCTTCTTTTGGCAACGTTGTATAGGACCAAGTCTGAATCACTGGGAGAAGAAAGTATACACATTTGGTCCTCCTACCAAACAGGAGGTTAGTTTTAAGATGCAGTTGTACAAAAATCAAAAAGATCAGAAAGCCAGTTTTGTCACTGGTTACTATAATGAGATATTCTTACAACAGTCTGATGACTGGGAAAATAGATAATTGCCGATTTTATTTCATTTACAGAAACAAAATAATTACTGAAGAAAATGTTTTCTCTCTAAAAAAGAAATGTGCAACTCCATTTATTGCAGCAACTGCCATCATGTGCCTTGGTTGATGACCCAGTCTGGGCACGGTCCACAGCACTTCTCAATACCTGCCCTCAGTTCTTCATTCCACACTCTAAACTTACCTTTGGACAATGTCAGATATGTGCACACAGATGCCACACAGACTTTCATCTTACTTTCATTCTCCGTGGCTTGCCCATAAAAGTGAAGACTTAACCAAGAAGATAACAGTGTGATGTGTCCTCCTTTGACTGACCTACTTTGAGCTGAAAGTCAGGGAAAAGGATGCACAAATCTACTTCTAATGCAGATTAAAACGTGCCTTTGGCACAGCATCCCCACACAGACTCATCGTACATTCAAAAAAAAGGTTTTTACATCCTTTTCCCAGATTCCTGTTGTGGAGAGAGGACCATTAATGATAACTCCCTGAGGCTCCTTCTCCTTGTGTTACACAATGCCTCATTCACAACTTGGGCATCAAGACTGATGAAAGCAAAACAGAGATGAGTGGTTCTTTCTCTGGTATTCAAACTTCAAATCAAACACCCACTTTGCTGTACTATAAACAGAGCTGCCTGTTTAGAGCACCAAGGCACTGCTGTAATGTTTCTTTTTCTTTAAGATTTTACATTTCTCCTGTGAGAAGCAATTACAATAGAAGTGTCAAGCAAAAATAAACCCTTGTTAATCACAGTCACTGTGAGGCTGCCAAGTAAATCACATCTCAGTGTTGTTCTATTTTTCAGGTAGAAATAAAAAGTGTGTGAGAATGTCAGAGTCTAGAAATTAAGTTCTTCCTGAGAGGGGGGTCCAAAGTTTTTGAAAATACAAGCTCTTCTCTTGTGTTCATGACATTGAGTGGAATTATGCAAGCACTAAACTTGACTACCCACTGATCATAAGAATAATTCAGGTTGGAAGGATTCTCTGGAGGTTGTCTAGTCTAACCTCCATCCAAAGCAAGGCCAAATGCACAATTAGGTCAGACTGCACAGTTCAGCTGGGCTCAGGGGCTTCTGAACAGCTCCAAAAAGCTGGTTCCACATCCTCTCCAGGCCACTGGGCCCATGCTCAGCTGCTCTGACCATAAGCAACTTTCTTCCTAAATCTAGTTGGGACTTCTTTTCCTGCAACCTGTGCACATTGTCTGTTCTACTTGCACCATGCACTCCTGAGAAAAGGTCTGACCCTGTCTTCTCTACAACCTCTTACTCCCTTCAGCTTTCCTTTCTCCAGACTGAACAAATCCAGTGTCCTCAGCTTCCGCTCAAACACAGGGGCTCCTGCCTCTTCAAGTGCTCCAGCTGTTTACTCACCTATCACAAGTCCTGAAATCATACATAAATTTATTTTGGTTTTGGTCTACGCATCTGAAAGGAGAAATGAGAAATGGAGAAAACTTTGGGCCCTCATCTGAGCCATTGTTTTCCCATACTTTTCAAACTCAGAGGCTTCATGCACTGGCCAGTGCATCACAAGGGAGCTGCCTTCAAATCACCTGAAGGGAATGATGCTGATTTTGTACCCTTCCAAATCTGAGAATTTTCTGTGATCTATGGAAAAAGGTTTTGGTTTTATTTTTATTTTATCTTCATCTTTTCACTATTCCCTGTGCCGTGAAAAAACAGCCATTTCAAGGTGATGCAATTGCAGCTGCTGTTCCAGAACAGCAGATTGCAAGGGGGCATCTTCCATTGTGCCAGGGAGCTGCCAAACGCGGTGGTACCTAAGAGGAAGTTTAATCAGTTCAAAGATGCTGTGAGGTCTCCCATTTCCTTTTTCTATTGGGGAACAGGTGGTGGCTTGATGACTAGATCAATTGCTTAATCAATGCTATGAATATTAACAGGAATATCAGAAACCTGTTTTAGCTGAGACAGTTTTAAGACATCCAGCCTGTGTGTTGCAGACTTGAGTTTATGGAATGAGTCTTCAAATCAGATAAATGGTTATTTTCCCTAAGAACCTTCAAGAAGAGTTAAAATCCAGCCATAACCTGCAATTTAGTAACGCAATTATCCTATCTCATTCTAGATTCATATTTCTTTTCCACTGTAAAACCCTAATCCTGCAGCTGCCAGTTACACTGAGTCACCACCCTGAAATCAATTTCAGACAGAAGAGCCTGTTGCTCAATAAAAAGGGATTAACTGGATGGACCCTCATTTAAGTAAAAACTTTATTCCAATTCCCCACCTATCCCCAAGAACCCTGTAGATTTGTATTCCATTCCTGTAGCTTAAGTTGGACATTTTTTCCTGAGACAAGGATATTGAATCACACTCCTGAATCAACACAGCCTCAAACTCTGCTCAACCCAACCATTTTCACAGTAAAGATATTTTTGAAGTGCTTCAGCTCAGATATGCTCCACCATGGGGAACTCTTTTTGCAATGGTTTAACACCAGCTGAATCGTCAACATACCTGTTGACAAGATGTATTTCCCAGTTATTTTACAACAGTATAAAGACCTCAAGAGTAAGGAAGGCTCAGTACTGCCAGTCTTCTCTCAGTTATTGGTGTTCTGTCTATATGCAACAATGCAACTTTTGCATTTTTAGTGATCATCTGAATTTTACTGCAGCGAAGTCACAGCCACAGAGAATGAAGTCCTTCACTTTTCAGAACAGGAGGAGAAACTTCCCTAAACAGAATTATCAGCGGGTGTATCTGGTCTGATTTGGAAAGAGACTCTGCAGGACCGAAAATCATATTTATTTTACTGAGATACACAACAACATAAATTCTAAGTCATGGGAGTAGTTGGGTAATCTCATGTAGGACAACAGTCTCCTGGTAGAGAAAGGGAAAACAGTACTTTTGTGCCACTGTAGTGAATACTACTATCAAGTTAGTGAAAACAGGTACCAGAAGCTCAAATACAAATACTCCAAGCAATTTACATCACCCTGAATAATCTCATCATCTATCAATGGCAAAGTTCTTTGTTGCACTGGAAGATACTCTGTCTGGAAATACATGTAGGAATGATTCTGTACTCTGACTCCCAGTTTCTGCACCATCCATACTGTTGTACATATAGCTTTAATAAAGCAGCACACATGCATAAAAGGTATTTCACATTCCTCTATCTGTGATCAAAATCCAGTAAGAGTATCTGGGTATGAGTGAGAAAACAGTTTCAACTTTCTTTCCTAGGCTCTTCCCTAAGATTGTCCTACCCCTATCACAGGGAAGGACTGACTGGTGATACTGTGACAAAAGCTACATGACATTTTGAATAACTCACCCCAAAGAAATATAAATTCTTGCTTAATTAAACTTAATTAAGAAATCTTGGTTCAATACTTCACCCCGTAACAATGATGTGCAGGAAGAATAAGCAGAGTGGGACATTTTTTTCTTACATTCCTTCTTTTTTGTGGCCTTAGTAGTTTGTTTGCTTAGAGCCAGCAAGCACCAGCTCATACTCTCCTCCCTGCTAACCAGGGTCCTTACCGGTGACGACGCTGGGGATTTTGGACAGAAAACTCTTGACGGTACGGATGGGAACTCCACCTGTTTTGTCATCCTGCATTCTTGTAATGATGTCTTCAATCTGCCAAAAGGAAGGAAAGACTTAGTGATTTATGCAAAATGGTGACTGTAACATTTATATACCATGAGTGCTTTGGAGCCCTGCTTGTAGGATGGGCTTCAAATACACCACGTGAATTACTGCACAAACACAGACCAAGAGACAGCCTCCCAAATTTAACCCTGAGACTAGAAACCATGAGACAACATAGACCAGCTTGGAAGATGGTGGTCACATACTGACCATCCAACAGCAACTATGCTTTTTTTTGCTGACCAAGCATGATACAAAGCTGTTGTTTGGCCCACATGTGAATTGGGTTAGACTCTACAGCAACCAGCTTAAGGAGCTTCCCACCTAGTCCACTTGCCCCTCTCCTCCCATATTCAGTCGGATCCTCGATACTGTGACCTTGGGAGGGTTTTCAGTTTCCAAAGGGTCCCAGACAGTCACCAACAGCCTACAGCTTGAGAAGAGCATGAGACAGAAAAACTGCGGGATGATTTCCCCTGCCTTGTGCTGTAGACTGGGATGGTAGATGTCCACGGTCGTCGTACAAAGTAAAAAAAAAAAAGTAAAATATCATAGAGAAAAACCTGTCAGATTTTCACTGCCAAGTTAACTTTTACTTCACAGGCACATACATAATCCATCAGATACAGCAAAATATACAGCCATCTTCAAAAGCCATGGCACTCAGAGGATCTGATTACTGGGGGAAGGAGCTTAATCCTCCCCTCCTGTCCTCTAAAACAGGAAGGGTTTTTTTGCTCCTTTTGAGCTACTCCTCCTGTGTTTACCTGAAGGCAACGCCAGAGAGAACAAAAAGCTGAACATAAGCACAGTGCAGAAATTCGGTATCTCCAAAAACTCTCTTCAACTTAGTAAGGTCTCAGAAGCCCAACAAAAATAAACCTGAAGCTGTTGGCTCTGTTAGCTCCAACAGTTGACAGCACAGATCTGCCTGCTGCTTCTGACAGGGGGCTGAGGCTGAAGTTGGCCAGACAAGGAGCACAGCTCTGATTTTACCTAAAGATTTTCTCCTCACAGATGCTACAAAACACAACCTCAGCAGAGAGGTTACATGGTGAGAGCATGGCCCCTCTCTCTCCTAAAGGTAGCCTGAGAGCTCAACCAGCTCTCCAAGTCTGGAAAGCTGGCTTCATTTAGATGTGCAAGTGAGTTTCTTTCACAGACTTAACACCTACATTTCAAAACAAGTTTAATTTCAAGTCTTCCCGAGGCGTTAAGACAACCTCCCTGCCAACTTCAGACACTGAATTTGATAACTGTGTTTTTAACCTCAGGCTATCACTTAACTGAACTGTTCGCACCTTGTTTATATATTATTTTTAAGTTAACACATGCCCTGAACAAATTCTCAGTGGGAATGAAGTCACAAAGATGAAAATATCCTGAGATATTTAATAGATTATGGAAGATTTTGGTACCTACAGTTAATTTGCGATAGAATAATTCTATTTTTCCCCCAACCCAGACACTATGAAAATGAAGACCACCTTTTTGCCCTTTACCTGAACTTTATGCAAGAGTATTTGCTGATCAAAACAGTTTCTTCCAGTCAAAGGATATCTGGAGGAGGAACTACTCCTCTCAGGCTGGACAAGAAGCACTTCACAGCACCTTGTGGTGTTGAGAGGAGCCCTGACAGCACCACCCGTCACCCGCCCAGACCTCCGAGGCTACAGCACTCCCACACCAGACCTGCCAGGTGGACAGGACAGCTTGGTTGCCTGGTCAGCCAGACCAAGAACCACTTCAACAAGGCAATGAAAAAGTCTCTTTGTGACCAAGTATTTACGTGTCTTCATCCATATGCACTTGTAGCTGGCATCAGAGAGAGATTTTTTCCATGCATATTAGGAGGAAACTACTCTGGAACGTGTTATGAGTCTCATGTTGCCAGGAGCACTTAAGGGCTTTAAAAAACTGTAAGCATAATTTTTGGTAAAATTGTTATGTTCTCTTTTTCTATTTCAATGAAAAGTTCAGAATGAAAAACAAGCTAAAATAATTGTTTTGATGCAGGAAAATAAATTTCTTCCTCTTTTGCTCCCTGTAAGCTAAAGGAACACCAGACATGATTTATGTCATTATCACCCCAAGAAAAGATCCATTTCAAGCAAAATAAACCTTTAATTATCTTAAAAGCAAAATATATTGTTTCTACTGAAACTATCCCCATTTCAAGCAATCGAGCAGGCACTGATGTCTCAAATGGGGCCATTAATTTGGGTTTCAGTCACAATTACAAAAGCCTACTGCAATTTTAAATCAAAATAAACAAAACTGCCTCCTTCCCAAAAGGCTCCTTCTTCCTCTTGTCTTCCAGCCTGACTACTTGCACTTTCTGCTCTCCTTATTTCTGAGAGCTGGATGTTTCTTCTTTCCTACCCTTTTACTCAGATGTCACATCTCCTTTCTCCCCTGTCCTCTCATCTGATCCAGACAGGACTACATATGTCATCCTCCTACACATGCCAGCATTTGCAGTCTGCTGCCCAAGAGCCCGCATGGTTACAGCCTCTGGCTGTACACAGTCTTTCCAATCCCAACGTGCTTTCCTTGTGCGCTCCAGCAAATTTCTACACTGCTCAAAGGGGACAGTATAGCCTGCTCAAAAAAACTCTTAAAGTTATAATCAAGTTTTAAATAAAATATTAAAAAAACTATATTTAGCAGCCTATGTCAAGTTTTTGTTCAGTACACTAAAAAGAGATCTGACCCTTTGTACTAGCCTTTGTGTTTTGCATCCACCCAGCATTTGCAGATATTACCACCCTGGGTCCAAACTCCTGCCCAGCTATGGAAATGTTTCATCAAATAAGTGATACTGTGACAATGTGGAAAAAAAAGTGATTATTCAAGCTTAAGGTGTAGAGAAAAGCAAAGAGGGAACATCAAGCGTGAAGGTCACTTTCATCAAAGCTTTTCATCTTAACTTTTAAGAGAGCTACCTAGGCCCTTCATTGCTAATGATTCTCCCTTCAGTTCCTGCATGTCATTAAATATCCTTTAGGTTTCCCTATCTGGCAGGGAATAAGGGTCCCTGAAAAAAAGAGTCCATTTCATCAGGCTAGGACGCAGAAACTAGTAATACTAAGCATTCCTTACATTTATCACTCCTAAATGAGCAAGTTACAGTGAACTAACTTCTGCCTGTCAAAAGTCATGGTAAGAACAGGCAACATTTTTTTTCCTATTATGGGGTCACCGCTATTTCAATCTGGTCTGATTTTGCATCAGCAAAGGGAACCATTACTCTTCCCTCCAAGTGGATTCTGGGTCAATATCTCCCTGAGAAAAGCCAGAGCAATTTATGTATCTGCTGCCACTGTTAGCTACACACTATAATGTATGCCTAACAAATTAGATCTGTCTTTCCTCCTGACTGGTTGCTGACAACTCTGCTCCCTGCATTTGTCCAGAATGATTTTATTTCACATTACCCCACTTTCAATGCATTGAAAAGGGCTTTTGGCTTCAGGAACACGTTATTAATGGAGACAGGACTCTACAGCAGCTAGTTTATGGGAGTTTACCAACATATTCTGTTACACAGAATGTGTTGGGGATTTAATGTATATGTGGGATATGTTGGTATTCATTAGACCTTCTTCTTTACGCTATCAGCACTTTTGCTGGCCTAAGGAGGGTGACGGCACACAGTAGAAGACCTTGAATTTCTGTCAGAGCTGAGATGTCTGTCACTAGGAGATGAGAAGTCCCTTCTCTGAGCCAGGAGAAAATAAAATATTTGTTGATGTGTTATAAGTCATTAATAGAACAACAAATATAACCATCACAGTCTGGCAACTTTGGGTCAGTACTGCACAATATTTTTAGTGTTACCATTATAAGGGGGAAAAAAACTCTCAACTTTGCAGTAGCTTCTCCTCCCAGAACCAAAATAAAGCAGGGACTCAGACTGCAGCACATTAGCATGCACAGCCTTGCTGAGGCCTGGAAGCACCCTGCTTATGGTTGTGGCTGACCTTAGAAGCAACATGCTGAGGGAACGGCAAGTAACACACAAATAAGAAAAGCCAACAGCTTCCACCTCCCACAACCCTATCCCTGGACACCAACAGCTTACTGGAGCTACCTGGCTGAACCTGTTTAACTGCAGCTGGGCGATTACTACATAATGATGTCAGAGGCCATCACAGTCCCATTTTGCCAGCTCATTTTTGTGAACTAGTGAGGGAAATGGTGCCTTTTTCATATTCTAGCCTCCGAGTTAGCTGTACATACTCCCCCAGACTCAGCAGGAAAGGTCCTGCTGCCTATTTCTGAATATTTTGGTAGGCACCAGGTTCCTGACTGATTACTCTCAGCAGGTACCCTGCTCTTGGGGATTCCTGTCACCAGCCAACCTGTGGCTAGGGAGTCTCTGAGCATCGCTCATCAACACCAACATTAAACGTATAGGATTAGACAGACAGCTCTGTGCAATGCCAAATATCCTCTTCACAGATGAGAGCTCTCATGAATATTGGTGGAGCTGGATAATACATGGAGGAAAGGATCAGTCTGTTGTCAGCTAGCATGATGGCAACAATAAATACATTCGATCTTTTATTCTTGACTGAAATATAAGTTTAAAATAGACCATTTCTCACATTGCCAACCCCTACAGTTTCCACAAGTGCCTCTGACCAGCATTCTGACACTACCAGCATGCCTGTGCCTTCTGCAATGTGCTGACTCCTGCCACGCAGCCCCACACACGCTCAGACAAGAAAAGATAATTTGACAAGATGTCTGAAGCCAACTTGCTTCACCAGTCCAGACAATTCGATTCTGCTCAAACACAGGAAGAGGTGACTGACAAAAAAAAAAAAAAAAAAAAAAATACAACTTCCTTCAGCACCCCCAGGGGAGAAAGGACAACCTTGCCTCTGAGACAGTGCTGCAAAGCAGCACAGCAGCACTGCCAGAGAAATACGGTGTGACCTTCAGCAGACAGCTTCATCTGTCTCTGCACAAGTCTCCTCTCC